GGGACAGGGAGGGGACAGGGAGGGGACAGGGATGTTGGAGGACGTGGAGGGGACACGGAGGGGACAGGGAGGGGACAGGGAGGGGACAGGGATGTTGGAGGACGTGGAGGGGACACGGAGGGGACAGGGAGGGGACAGGGAGGACTTGAAGATGACAGGGACACTGCAGGTCACAGCAGGGTGACAGGGTGATGGGGTGACAGGGTGACAGGTGATAGGGACAGAGTGACAGGTGAAAAGTGACAGGGACAGGGTGACAGGGTAACGGAGACAGGGTGACAGGTGACGGGTGACAGGGCAACAGGTGACAGGGTGACAGGTGACAGGGTGACAGGGTAACAGAGACAGGGTGACAGGGTGACAGGGACAGGGTGCCAGGTACCAGGTGCCAGGGTAACAGAGACAGGGTGACAGCTGACAAGGTGACCAGCGACAGGGACAGGGTGACAGGGTGGTGACAGGTGACAGGGACAGGGTAACAGAGACAGGGTAACAGAGACAGGGGGACAGGGACAGGGTGACAGGGTGACAGTGCCAGTGCCAGGTACCTCAGTAGACCGTGCCACCAGCGCGTTGCGGCTCTCGATGCGGTATTTGACAGGGCTGGCCCAGAGGGGACAGGGTGACAGGGACAGGGTGATAGGGTGACAGGTGACAGGGACAGGTGACAGGGACAGGGTGACAGGGTGACAGGATGACAGGTGACAGTGCCAGGTACCTCAGCAGACCGTGCCACGAGCGCATTGCAGTTCTCGATGCGGTATTTGACGGGGCTGGCCCAGAGGGGACGGGGACAGGGTAACAGGGACAGGGTGATAGGGTGACAGGTGACAGGTGACAGGTGACAGGTGACAGTGCCAGGTACCTCATCAGACTGTGCCACCAGCGTGTTGCATTTCTTGATGCGGTATTTGACAGGGCTGGCCCAGAGGGGACAGGGTGACAGGGACAGGGTGATAGGGTGACAGGTGACAGGGACAGGGTGACAGGGTGACAGGTGACAGGGTGACAGGTGACAGGTGACAGTGCCAGGTACCTCAGCAGACCGTGCCACGAGCGCGTTGCGGTTCTCGATGCGGTATTTGACGGGGCTGGCCCAGAGGGGACAGGGTGATAGGGACAGGGTGACAGGGGACAGGGACAGGTGACAGGGACAGGGTGACAGGGTGACAGGTGACAGGTGACAGTGCCAGGTACCTCAGCAGACCGTGCCACGAGCGCGTTGCGGTTCTCGATGCGGTATTTGACGGGGTTGGCCCAGAGGGGACAGGGACAGGGTGACAGGGGACAGGGACAGGTGACAGGGACAGGGTGACAGGGTGACAGGTGACAGTGCCAGGTACCTCAGCAGACCGTGCCACCAGCGCGTTGCGGTTCTCGATGCGGTATTTGACGGGGTTGGCCCAGAGGGGACAGGGACAGGGTGACAGGGGACAGGGACAGGTGACAGGGACAGGGTGACAGG